GGACGCAGTTGAGTGAGTTCCAGCACACTTGCCGCAGTTTGTCTACATGTGGCAGTTTTTGGTGCCATGGCCATATGAGAGGCAGTTCATACACTGCGTTACATCACGATGTTGGGGTTTGTAATGCTCCCAACTGATGATGACCTGAAACAGGTCCCGGATATTGGATCTCAGAGCCGCAAGACTGGTGGATCCCTTCGTGAAATGCTCCAGGAACAACTGATCACGGAAGCTGGTGTTTTGGTTGGGACGCCGGTTCATCTGGAACACGGCCTCAGGTTGGAGCCCAAACCGCTCCAGCTCGGACTTCACCGCAGCAGCCTCGAACGACGGTAATCCACGCAAAACCACCTTCAGTGGCTTGCTCGATGGCAGATCATGCGTGAAGAAGTCCACGTTGTTGTTCTTCAGGAAACTTCCTATTTGTTTGTACTCCTCCAAGCTGGAGCACATGATTTTTGTACCGATGCTGCAAAGCTTGAAGCGAGGCAGCAGCTTGTGTTTTGCCAGTTCGGCACCCAGCTTGGCAACATCCTTCACCGGCGTGAAAAGCGGGGGAATCCGCTCTCGTCTTGCAATGGGAACCGCGTCACCATCGCCATTTTCTTCCGGGAGTACTGCATACTGGTTAGCTTGCAGTACTCGTTTTCCGGCGTCATCCTGCGACGCGCTAGGCTTGATTAGCACCTTCTTTGAAGGGCCCGCTGCTGGCTCATTGGCACGTTTACGCACCATTTGTTTCGTGTTTGCAAGTTCAATTAAACTTGCCAGAACGCGAGAAGGTGGCGACACTTCCACGGCGCAACGCGACAGCACAAAACGAAACAAAATCGAATCGAGAACTCGAGCGAAAATACGGACTGAACAGCTCGACAGTAGAGCAAAGAAATGATGAGCAGGCATGAGAGCAGCGCTGATTTATATTTTTTCGGGTTCAAGCAGAATGATGTGCAACCAAGTGGTATTCGTTTATGAATACTGGGCTTGGGAAAAAGGCTTATTTCATGAAATCAGTGATAAAATTATCTTTGTACATTTTCAAAAGTTTAATTACAGAAAAAATTGGAAAAATATTTATTTCAACAGGTTTGTAATGTAATATCTTATCGATTGGCGTATTTGGATTTTAATTTCATCTATAAATGACAAAGTTACAAGCGTTCAAAACCTAACACTCCTTCACCATACATATTTTTTTATTTGCACCCATTTGCATTTGTAGTTCTACGTCAAAAGTACCCAAAATTGAGTTCCTTTCACTCATCACGTTGCTTCCGTGGGGCTAGGTAAAATTAAGTTAAAGAAGAAAACTAAATTTTGAGTAATCTTGATCATGAATCCACGTTGACCAAGATGACAAAAAAATAATAAAATGGAGCAGACTGGAACCGAACCATGGACGTTGAGATTACGGGGCCCGTGTGTTGACCACTCGTCTATCAACGTTTGTGAATATGAAATGGTTAAAGGCGCATAAGAGCAACCTCAATGAAAATAAACTTATGTTTGAGTTCATTTATTATTACTCAATAGTTGAGTAAATTTTAACCAACGCCGCTTTTCTGATTCACTCACCGGCGGACCTCAAATGTTAGAACCCAACGTTGAGTTTTTTTTTAACTTAATTTTGAGTATTTTTTCTTACCGCGGACTTTGGATGATGGAGCCAAGCAGATGCGACGAAGCAAATTGGTTGCCAATCGCATTTGCTTTCTCCTGTGGAGTGATTTTGAGCCGATCGTCATCATTTTCGACTCTAGAAGGTGGAACGGGTTTGGGATGAGTTTTCAGCACCTTAGCTACCTTCCAGAATGAACGCTCCGGTCATCCAGATTCTGGACAACACGCCCGAAACTTTCATTTCGGAGTGAGTCCATTCTGGAAGCAATCTGCCTGTTCAGATCGGCCATTTCACGTTTTTTGCTTAAATATCCAGTCCTCTGAAACTGGCGTCTATGCACATTTCTCAAGCGAATCAGTAATTGGGTTTGAAAATCAATGACAACATACTTACCCCTCACAGAACTTGTCGAACACACGTCGCGTCAGCCACGGATATGGCCTGGTGGAGTCCTTCCAGAGCCCGGCCGATGTCCTCTACGGTGTCAAGCAGCGGATTTTCGTTGATGTTCCGGTCAACCACACGTCCAAACTGGACCCAGTTTACGTGGTGGTAGTCTTTTCGTAGGATTGGAACAGGAGCTATGTTGATGCCGACCTCAGCCACCAGCGGTTGGTGTTCGGAGCTTAAATCGTTGATTGCCACCGGCTTGGATAGTCCAAAGTTCGTCAGGAAGAAGTCCGGTGTGGAAGGGTTTCCCGCCGAAGAGATGAATGTCGGTTCATCCGGAAATTGCACCGTATACAGATCATGCTACGAGTGGTCGAATAGTAGGCTACCGGTCTGGTTCCGTTGGTGGTTGCACCATGCTTCGTGACGAGCATTCACATCGCCCCCAACCAGTGCTGAGATTTGTCATTGTCATTGACAGACTTTCGCGCGATATTGACAAAATTGTTCGTCACGTAGTCACTGACAGACTAGATCCTCAAAAAAACCTTCGTCAAAATCTCATTCATTTTTTCATCAATGATAAAGATTCACCTGGTAACAAAAAGTGTAATTTAGTACATTCTGTGTCACATTATTGTTATCCAAGTAGCTCAGGACGTAGATACTTGTTCATTAAAATGGATTCATGTAATTCTTTAGCTCAAGTCATTTAATTTCGTTACAAATTTAGCTAATAAACAAATCTTCACATGTTCGTCACTGACACCATTGTCATTGACAATTGACATGGTTTGCCTTGACTATGACCACAAACGAAGTTACAGACGACTAACTGGCGAAGAAATCCATTCAAATAATGTGGTTCACTGTAATAGAATTTTCTTGGAAGCTTGCGCCATCATCCACAAGATGGGTTAGTTTTTTTGTTTTGATTTGAACAAAGTTGATTTTGTGTACAATGATTATTTGACAGTGTGCAAAGAGTGCGTATCATTTTGTCATTTTTTTATGCAGTGCAGTTTTGAGTAGAGTGAATGAGATAGAACCAAAACATTCTAGTACATTTGGTGAAAATGCTAGTTCAATCTAATAGTAGTGTTGCCATGTGGTACAATCCAGTAGTAGTGGTGTTGCCATGTGGTACACTGAAAAATTGCAATAGCAGGTTAGTCACCAAAGTTTTCGAGCCGCTCCGTCTGTCACTTCGTTTGTGCTATGACTGTTAGCTCAAATGAGTGACCAAAACAGAATTGTCAATATCACCGTGTACTGTCGAGATTTTGCAGCACTGCCCCCAACAATGAATCGGGAGCTCGTGCGAGTGATAGCGGTGAGGTCGTTCTTGAATTTCATCCTTAGTCCGTTGCTGGCAGCACACTGACGAGGGCAGTATACGGCGATGAACCGGACGGTTGGTGATTCCACCTCCACACTAAGATGCCTCGGTGATAAAAGCACAAACGAAGTGACAGACGGAGCGGCTCGAAAACTTTGGTGACTAACCTGCTATTGCAATTTTTCAGTGTACCACATGGCAACACCACTACTACTGGATTGTACCACATGGCAACACTACTATTAGATTGAACTAGCATTTTCACCAAATGTACTAGAATGTTTTGGTTCTATCTCATTCACTCTACTCAAAACTGCAATGCATAAAAAAATGACAAAATGATACGCACTCTTTGCACACTGTCAAATAATCATTGTACACAAAATCAACTTTGTTCAAATCAAAACAAAAAAACTAACCCATCTGGTGGATGATGGCGCAAGCTTCCAAGAAAATTCTATTACAGTGAACCACATTATTTTAATGGATTTCTTCGCCAGTTAGTCGTCTGTAACTTCGTTTGTGATAAAAGTGCGGATATGCGGCAGCGTGCAGAACTTGATTCCTTCTGGAGTCGATACGATCAAGCCGGATAATGTGGTGATCAGGCAGCCAAAAACTGTCACCGGATTTAAGATGGGTCTCTGTTAGGAGGCCCACGTCGATACTATGCTTACGAAGAAGTCAGCAAGCTCGAGTCTTTTTGCTCTTAAAGAGCATGCGTTCCATGTGACGACAGTTATCGTTTTAGACACCATACTGAATAATAAACTTACCGAGCACTTGGATCTGTTCGGGCTTGCTGCGGCACTGACGAAGAGCGCTGGTCATGTCGACGAAAATCTTCATCAGCTTATCCGCAGAGAAGAGATCGGGATTTACGTTTTGTGCTGATGGTTGTCTCCAGAATCCAGGAGGGGGGGGGGAGCTTTGTCCAGCAGAAGCACCAGACGTTTCTTGACGGGGGCCGGATTTACTTGACCGTGATGCATAGCAGAAAGAGGTGGGAAATTGGCGTATTGTCCTTCTTTCATCCTGGTTGATTTCTTGTGGACGCCTGCTTTCGGATCCGCTTGAAATCTTCGCGTTTGGGGCACTGTTTGTCGGACCCTTGATGAGCGCCATTAAAGTTGGCTTTTCCGTTTCAGACTCGTCGACAACACACACGGAGGAGACATAGTTTTGGGCGCATTTGCCACAGTGCGGCTTGACGAAGCAGTTTCGGGTGCGGTGCCCGAAATTCAGGCAACGCTGACACTGGGTGACCTAGTGAATTCTGCCTTCCATTCCCATTCCGCTGCGTCAGCAAGTGCTGTGATCAAGGTGATTGGTGAGGCAGAAAGAAATAAGTCAAAGGAAAGGCGTATAAGGAAATAAGGCGTATCGATCGATCTCAATGAGCTTTTTTCAGCACATAATCGACATCCTGTTTTATTCAGCATTGTACACTGTTATACAGCATTTATTCAATATGTAAGCTTATTTGTGACTTTGAATTATTTGTTGGGTTCCTAACTTTTTATTCGGGGATATGGCATTCGGGGAAATAGGTATTCGAGGAAATGGCGTTCGGGGAAACGACATCCGGGGAAATGTAGCACAATCCCCACTTTACGCTACAGGCTTTCTCTATCATTCCTGCAAAACCCATCAATTTAACCTAACGTACCTTTATTGATACCATTTTCGTTCGGTTTTCCATAGATCTGAGAGTGCATACAGGTCCTAAAGTCCTCCAGACACTGCTTGCATTGAAACCGATGGATTGCTCGGTTGTGCAACTGCAGATCCTCGTTACACGAGTAATTCAGCTTACACACGTGACAGTAAAATACATCTTCGTAATCGTCGATCTTGTGCACGTCCAACATGTGCTTCTTGAGGAAATGCTTTGTCTTGTACGTCAACGGGCAGTAGTGACAACGGATTCTATTGTCTTCAGTTTCCTCCTTCTTCACAACATGTTTGCGGATTATCTGCTCTACCGTTTCTTCCTTCTTCAGAACATGTTTTATTTTAGCCTGATCATCAGCCTTGACGACGGCCGCCTTAGTTTCATTCATTGCAGCTGGCGCAGTTCGTTTAACCGTTATCTGAGGATTCAGCTTAGCCAGTATTCCTACCTTACAGGTTTGCAGGTGCTTCTCAAAGTTGGCCTCATGGATGAAGCTACTGCTGCAATGCGTGCACTTGTACAGAGTGACATGTTGAGTCGTTTGTGGTGGAGGTTTCGAACTACCCACTGGTGATGTTGATGGTGTCTTCGGAGAACCAGTCTTGGTTGGCGAGGAGACCGGGTGATCGTTTCGCTCATGAATGATCAGATTCTCACGACTACGGAAGACTGCTCGGCACTGCGAGCATTTCACAATTGAAAAACCATGCCCAGTTGCCAGTTTAGTTCGTTTCTCCGAATGTTCCGAATTGAGTACTGTCCCTTGTGGTCGTTTCACAACAGCTACCTTCTTGTTCAGAACATTGATATGAGGGAGCTCTGCAGGAGATTTCTTCGTATCTTCATTCTTACTCTTGCTGGCACTACTAACGGCAACCGGTAGCGAGCGTACCGATGAAAGTTTTTCCTCTTTCACAACGACATTTCTAAGTTCGCCATCTAAATGATAGACATCCACTTCCTTAACGGTTTCCTTCGCTGGCTTAGGCTCAGGAACCTTAGGGATGTCACATTTTGAATCTTCATATTCATCCAACTCCTGCTTAATCTCTGTCAGCTGAGAGCCGTCAATCAATTCAATCAGCACAGTTTCCTCCTCCGTTTGTGGGAAATCCATTTCGTCTCCGTGCATCTTACGGTAGGCTTTCACTGCGTTATGATTACGAACCACCATGCGACGGAATTCGTGGAAGTCGCTGAACCTATCCATACATTCATGACAAACTGCACTCGGGTAGTCTTCCACGTTGTTGAACTGGAAAGTTGATAAAAGTTTACAGACTTAAATCATTTAAATTCAAACATAGTGTAGGATTGAACCCGTACTGTTATTCTCGTGTAATGGAACAACTTCTGCAATAGTTCCTTCTCTGGCTGGCGGATGGTTTGCGCCGATTCGAGCACCTTTAGTACATTTACCTGAGTCAGGCAAAGTCTGCAGTACCTGAGTGGATTTCGCCCGGGGCTGAAATGAAACGATTGAACTCTTGCGGTGATTTTTTGGATAAAACGGCTATTTAAGTGATAATTCAACTTACATATCTATGTTAGCCATTGATGGGGAATAATTAGCAAACTTTCACAGAGTTTTCTTGATGCACCCTTTTTTAGAAATAGAACAAACAGTAAAACACTCCGTGGCGTCTTTTTCATTTACGCGAGGAAATGAATGAAAAATGCCATTGATTGACCAGATCGCTTGTTTTGAGAGCTGGTTTCGTCAGCGACCAGCAGAGCACCGAAAGCTCTCCACATCAGCCAAGGTACCAACCGTAGAAAGCTTTTGATCAGATGCTTCACTGACACAGCAAAAAAAAATGCTATCAACTTCTTACTAAAAAACACTCAAAAATACGAATTCGATGTGATAGGCTGTTTTTCATTATATATAGATACTATTGATTCTACACGCTAACTTGAAAGTACTCATTAATGAGTAAAAAAAGACCCAATTTGAAGAAAAGTGGCTTAACTCATTAATGATTAAACAATTTTACCCATTAATGAGTATCTGTTACCCATTAATGATTAACAATTACTCATTAATGGGTAACAGATACTCATTAATGGGTAAAAAATTCACTCATTTAATGAGTTAAGCCACTTTTCTTCAAAATGGGTCTTTTTCAACCATTAATGAGTACTTTCAAGTTAGCGTGTATTGGCGAATCCGAGGGGTTTCTATCAAGCTGGTAAGGTGATTGGTAATCAAAAATTATCGCAAATTATCTAAATAATTAGTGAATTTTGAATTACTCAGTAAAAATAATTTGATAATTTAAAATAAAAAAAATTATTTGAATAATTCCATAAATATTTCAACTCTGGAATTATAATATTTGTTTATTATTTAATGTAAATTTAATGATTTACGTTGCTTCAGGTATAATTTATCATTAAATTAGTGGAAATCGAATTAAGATATTAAAAAAAATAAAACTCTGAAAAAAAAATTAGGGGCCACATTATGCAACCAAATAAAGCGAATTTTTCATATTAGGGGCGATCCATTTATTATGTCACGCTAAATTGAGGAAAAATTAAGCCCCCTCCCCTATTTCGTTACATTTTTCCTATACCTAATGCATTGCTTGTTACAAAATCATAAACCTCCCCCCTCGCCTCCCCTTCCCCTTTCCATCACCCCTTAGCGGTTTTTCAATGAAACTTTTTTTAACTCAGTTAGAAATATGAGTTTAATTAACATGATTGCAGTTTTGTTTTTTGCTGTGCAGCTCATTTTTATTAATCGAGCTTGGATTTCATCGCATTTCTCTAACAATTCGACAGTGAGCATGCATAAGGGCCTATACGAGATGATCGATGCTCTTCGTCGATTTTCTCTTTTGTTAATAACTCACTAGATTTAACGTCTTGGAGGCGAACCAGCCCCAGGCTGAAAGCCTCCCTAATAAAGATAAATTAATTAATTAATTAGATTTAACGTTTCTCGGTGCGTTTGCTGTTCCTTTTGATAGCCAATACAACCTGTTACTACTCTGCATTGAACAAGTTCTAGAAAATTGTTTCGCTTAGCTTTAGCAATGCAAAGAGAAAGTCGATGAAGAGAATCGATCATCGCGTATTCGCCCTTATGCATGCTCACTGTCGAATTGAGTTCTCCAAGCAGGATCTCACGAACACTACACTATTAATATAATTTTACATACACTAGCGTATACTGTCATGTTTACGGTAAGAATCAAACATCCATTTATGAGTAAAAGTGAACCCATTGTCAATAAAAGTGGCACTACTACCACAGACAAACAGACGTAACTCTTTGAAAAACTTGTTCTTGAAAACATAGTATCTCAAAACATATAACCTCAGTAACGACATCTATCTGGCTTCTCGCGGAAAACAAGCTTGCTCGCTAACTCTTAAACAATATTGCATAAAATTTCTATAGAATATATAGAAACGTCAAAGTGATCCGATGCCAGCGCTGCGCGAGTAGTTCGCGGAACTGATAATATTCAAATCAACCGTTAAATGCATGAACGAAGATACACAATGAAGAGTTACGTCTGTTTGTCTGTGCTACTACCATAGAGGTAACTCTAAGACTAGAAGGTCCCGAAATAACGTGCTCAACTTTTTGGCTCAGCTCTGGTACTCTCTTCGGTCCCAAGCTAATCGATTCACCCCTCGAAACATAGGAAAAACCAATAACCCCTCATTTTATCTGTCAAACTTTCATAGCGAATCAAAACAAACATTGCGTAGTACTAGAATTTCGACTAGAATAGGGTACGTTAATCGTTTGCTTGGGACCAATAGGCTACTAAAGTGGTGAGCCAATTTAAAATCGTTAGTTTCGTATTGATTGTTGCTACTACTTAATATAATTTTAGTCTACGATTTGATTGATTGACGAATAAATAAATAAATAAATAAATAAATATATAATGAGTAATTTATTATGTCAATTCAGTAGTAACTGTTTGCTACTGTTAGCAGAAACTCATTGGTGTTAAAATAATTTACTCATTAATGAGTAAAGCCACTTTTATTAAAAACGTGTTTGACTGTTATCGTGCAAGCGTAGGGTTTGTTTTCGTTTTGTTGCTTATTTTTACTTTAGAATGACAGCAAACAAAAAATTTCTCACCGCTAACAAAAAATTTCATTTCACTAACACACGCAAATCTTACCAGTGCGAGCCCGAGTATGAACCCGCCTGGAGAGAACTATTCCATCTTTGGAAACATTGTTACACTGATAAATTGGACTATTCCCATTTTGCTTGAAATTTAATCAATTTGGCATTACACTCAGTTTAATTCTCAGTTTAATTTCACGGAGAACAAATTATAGCAGACGCAATTATTTTTCCGGTCAAAATAACTATATTATTCAATTGTTTTAGAGATAACCCGAAACTATAGTTTATTTGACTATATATAGAGGGCAACAACTATAGTTTATAGTTGGCTCCTCGATTGGTTCAACTATATTTTTCAGTAGATGAACAAACGTCAAACTTCAAAATACAACTATGCTTTAGTTGATTCAAGAAAACTATTGTTAGATGAGCAAAATTTTACAATGTTTATTAAACGAACTGCTCTTCATTATCGACATATTAAGGAAGTTTTTTTTTTGCTTCTTCATCGATCTCAAAAACACAACTGCAAAATCATAAAAAAGGTGATCAAGAACATTCAACTAAGATTTGAACCGTGTTCATCTGCGTGAGAGCCAGCTATCTTATCGCCTGCTCTACGCATCACAAGTTAAAAGTAAGTGGATTTATGATGATCTTTTGAAACCAAATTATACAATTAAATTACATTTGACGGTTGTTATAATTGATCAAAGTTATAGTTGAAGTGAGTATAAGGTGAACAGTTGAATCTATTAGGTAGATATGATTGAGTTGACGGTCAAATTAATGTTGGAATATCTATAGGTTTCTTTCAAACAACAATATTTTTCCATGTGAAAGTAACTATAAGGATTGTTATCTTAACTTAACGAATTTGTTCTCCGTGTTACCTCTATGGTTTAATCCAGGAGGTAAGTCACTCTACCACCTTGTGTCTGTGCTTATTGTGTTTCATGTGTGTTGTTGGGTGTCGGAAGGTGTTTCTGGGTGTTTCTTCATCAACCGAAAAAATAAATTTATTGGCAACCATTGAGTATATGGACCATTGACCTTCCTGACGTTTATATCACGCACACTTGAGTAATCTCATTTTCAAGTGCGAAGTTTGTTATTCTCACTTTCGCTCCAGCCTAAAAGATTGGTTTGTTTTGTCATCCTCACTTTTAAACCATCAATACTTGCGCATATAGAATTGACAAATCCATGTTTCAATTGAGAAATCCAACTTAAACTCCTGCGCGCCTGGTGGCAGGAATAAGCACTAACCGACGGTGATAAGTCGGTGACAGCCCTTGAAAATTTCATTGATTGTTTGCAAAATTGTTTAATTTCAATGTAATTTCATGCAAATTTCTTGTCAGCATGGATGAACCTTGTACAAAATGCATAAAATTATTTTGTAATGCATTGTTCCTAAATAAAAAGCTACTTCAAGACAGTTAAATTACAGAAAACATGTTAAGGTTTGAAAACATCTGCCGATTAAACAGCAGACAAAGTTGGCCGACTAAATCCATCGACGAAAAACTATTAAATAGGCCGATTGCTCGGTGTAGCACCAGACGAAAAACGATTTAATCTGCTGATTAATACACCGACTGAAATAAATTTTTAAGTGGCAATAGATTTAGTCGGTGGACGAATCGGGTGATCTGGATGATGTTTGTTTATTTGGAAAATATTTTCGAAACAAAGCACGATAAAATTCAGAATTATATACCATTATTACGAGTACTACTTTTTTGCTCGGATCATTTTTTGTCTCCCACAGAAACTCGCTAGAATAAATACAAAATAATAGTTTTTTGGTTGAAATTTCAAAAATGTATTCAGTTTGACACATTATTTCGGACTTATCACCGCTGCGATTGCAGCGCCACGGTGGCCGATTGAAACTTGGATTTGTCAATCGACCACCGTGACGCTCCAATCGCAGCGGTGATAAGTCCGAAATAATGTGTCAAAAATTTTCTATTTATTCTAGTGAGTTTCTGTGGAAGTCAAAACATGATCCGAGCAAAAAAGTAGTACTCGTAATAATGGTATATAATGCTGAACTTTATCGTTCTTTGTTTCGAAAATATCTTCCAAATAAACAAACATCATCCAAATCACCCGATTCGTCCACCGACTAAATCTATTGCCACTTAAAAATTTATTTCAGTCGGTGTATTAATCAGCAGATTAAATCGTTTTTCGTCTGGTGCTACACCGAGCAATCGGCCTATTTAGTTGTTTTTCGTCGATGGATTTAGTCGGCCAACTTTGTCTGCTGTTTAATCGGCAGATGATTTCAAACCTTAACATGTTTTCTGTAATTTAACTGTCTTGAAGTAGCTTTTTATTTAGGAACAATGCATTACAAAATAATTTTATGCATTTTGTACAAGGTTCATCCATGCTGACAAGAAATTTTCATGAAATTACATTGAAATTAAATAATTTTGCAAACAATCAATGAAATTTTCAAGGGCTGTCACAGACTTATCACCGTCGGTTAGTGCTTATTCCTGCCACCAGACGCGCAGGAGTTTAAGTTGGATTTCTCAATAATATAACGCTGAAAATGACAGCTTCCCCTCCAAATCCACTGATGCTTTTTAATGAAAAAGCACAACCATGCAGCCAGCGGGAGGATTTTTTGGAGCTAATTCGACCGCAGCCGATGGGCTTTTGGAGTGTTTTCTGAAAAGGTTTGCCAGGTATATCACGGGCATTGGCCCTCTCGCTGCAGGACGAAGACGAATGGACACGTGCCACCCGGGAAGAAAGATCAAACAATGGGTGCAATCCTACCCGCAATAGAATCCAGTTGGTGGCAATAGTTTCAACTCTAAGGGCAAAATTTGCAATCAATTTGTGGGCCGTGCTTGGGCTACTGCTGGTTAGAATCTGAATAGAATTGCCAATTAGAAACTGTTCCGTTCCGTATGTTTTGGTTTTTTGCAGGAAATATTTTTTAGCAACTGTTCCTCCTTATACCCCGTACAGACTATAGCTTATATCATGTAATATAGGCTGTCTTGCAATGAGCACTCGTACATCTAGTTTTCACTGGAAATCCTTTGTATGAGTGCTCATTACAAGACAGTCTATATTACATGATATAAGCCATAGTCTATCCGGGGTATAAGCCATAGTCTGTACGGGGTATTACCATAGAGGTAACTCTAAGACCAGAAGGTCCCGAAGAAACATCTCCATAAAAAATCCTCCCGATTTTCCCTTTGACTAAATCGGTTCACGTCGGTAAGATCGACCGACTATGAAACCGACTTATTTATAAATTGTTGCATCGACTCTTATGGGACTGCTTAAGGGGAGGTTGCCGACGCGTCAGCACACTGAATCGGTAGTCGAAAACATAGGAAATCAGTCAACCAGAAGCGACCAAATCGAACGATTAGTAGGATGACAGAGTTGTAGCAGGGATTCTATGAAACCAGACGAAATATACTGGTTGATCAGTTTATTAAATTGTTTCTACGATACAAACAGATTAAGTCGATAAATAAATCAGCATACGAAATTGATGAAACCAAATGAAATAGAATGGTTAATCGGTTCATTCAGTTGTTTGCATGATGGAAAAGATTAAGTCAACTGTTAAATCGGCTTATGAAATTGATGAAACCAGATGAAATACACTAATTAATCGGTTAATTAAATTGGATTCTATAGGGGTGTTGGGGTAATTGCATATTCGTAATCTGCATTACAAATGGAATCGAAATTCAAAATTTCATCAATTTTGAAGCACTGGAACTACTTTAAATAAGTGTGATTACATTAGCAAAAATCACCATCTTAGCGTTCCTCGATGGTACTTCATATGGGAACGAGCTGTCAGTTTGTTAGTTTTGTGTCAAACAGTGAAGTGATCTTTTTGCTTCAATCAATATTAAAAATTGAGATGGAATTAGATGGGATCGGAAAAAATATCGTTGTTCTCAGAGAACATAATTATTACGCCAAGTAGTCCACATTCTTGCCATTGTAAGATTTAAAAAAAAAAGACAAAACCATTAATTCCAACTTACCAGGTTGTAATGACATTTCATAATAAAGTTGCATTCACTTAGCCTAACTGCCACTATTTAATAATCACTAGCTAAATCGACATCGTCTGTACATTAATATGTACACTAAAATAAACACCGATTAAAAAACATACAATTGCCGGATTTTACAATAGATAAAATCTATGGCTGTCGGTCCCGGCAGTATTCGATTTAATACATTAACGAATAAGTTGACAAAAATAACTAGTGTACTAATCCCGACGTTGTCGGTTTATTAATAGGCCTTTTTTGTAAACAACCGATTTCGCCGGTCGACAGTGAAATTCCCCATCTGTCAAATTTTTTATGGGGATGTTCAACTTTTTGGCTCAGCTCTGGTACTTTCTTCGGTCCCAAGCTAATCGATGCACCCCTCGAAACATAGGAAAATCCACGAACCCCTCATTTTACCTGTCAAACTTTCATAGCGAATCAAAACAAACATAGTGTAGTACTAGAATTTCGACTAGAATGGGGCACTTTAATCGATTTGCTTGGGACCAATAGGCTAGTCAAGTAGTGAGCCAATTTTAAATCGTTAGTTGCCATCGGTTGGTATTACCATAGAGGTAACTCTAAGACCACTGGGTCCCGAAGAAAATCATTATTATTTTTGGCTCACTCAGTACCAGAACAACGGTCCCAAGCAGTCCCAAGCATTTCACTCACCCCTGCATGTTCTGCATGAATCCACACACCCCTGATGTTATCTGTCAAACTTTCATAGCGAATCAAAACAAACATAGTGTAGTAATAGAATTTCAACTAGAATAGGGTACGTTAATCGTTTGCTTGGGACCAATAGGCTACTAAAGTGGTGAGCCAATTTAAAATCGTTAGTTTCGTATTGATTGTTGGTATTACGCTGCTGCTTTCGTGGATCCTAACCGGGATCGTATTTTTTTTTTCTTCGGATTGGAGGTTTTCCAGATCCAGAATGTTGCTCTTAACCGGAAGGACGGTACGACAGTTTTTTCTGGATTTTGTTTCTTCAAAACAACAAAATAACAATCGAATGTAAACATTCTTTGCATTGGTGCCAGAATTGATTAAAACATTTGCTTATCATGGGTGTTTGTGGGTGTTTGAATTGTGTTTCTGTGGGTGTTAGCACAAAGTGGTAAAGTGACTTACCCCCTGTGCGTACATCAATACGCAATACTGATTCGAAAATGCGTTAATGATCTGCCCCTCGGGTATAATCAAATAATGAGCCAAATTAAAATCGTTTGTTTCGCATTGATTGCGAGGGGGACGACTCTATCTACGATGCAGAAAATATTGTGCTTTGCTGTGACTAGCTGCGTGTACGCTGAGTAGATAGAAAGAAGATATTTCACGATTTTGAAGATTTCCTGCAAAAAGATGATGCGCGATGCAAGTAGATGCGAGAAATGAAAGAAGATTTTTCGAAGATTTATTCGCTAGTGTGAGATTTTATGAGCATCTAGAATTGAGATTTAGATGTGTCACCCCCTCGATTGATTGTTGGTAAACTTGTATTGCTATCTATTTTTTTTTCACACATAATCTGGCTGCCAATCCATTCAAATCAATGTTACCAATATGTTACATGTGTTACAATATAAAAAGCTCCATAAAGGGCCACCCACATTAGATTCGTTTTCGTTGCGTTGACGTAAATTTGACAGTTTGACAATAGATTTAGCTGTCACTTTGCCGCAACGCGTCCGATCCGGATCAAATGTGCGTGGGCCTTAAGAGAACCGGATTAGCGGGGGATACTGTAACGGCAAATTACTATAAGTTTAATAATATCAATATCTAATGACAATATTTACTAAACAGTTATTTTCAGTGTATGTTCTACTATATCGACAGGCAAATAAAACGTCTGAAATAGACGTTTCAAAATTTTAAAAAAGCTCCGAATGTTTGCACTTTTTTTTTACGCAATCGCCGAGGGCCGACCAAGCGAGCAACAGCCATTGTTGTCTGTTTGCTACGTACGCGAAAGTACCGCTTTGGACTTCCGAAATTTTCTATCGCAATTTGGAAGATCAAGTATTGAGAGTGTTGAGAGTGTAATTTTGCACGGAAATTGTGAAATAACCCGCTAGAAAATGTGTGAAAGTAAAAAGTGTTGACGTTCCCAGTAATTTTATCGGTGCCTCAACCGAGCTCGTGTAAACATTTTGGTGGGAAAAGTGTTGACTTTTTGGCGACTGAATAAAAGCTATAAACCGCGGAAGATGGGCAGAAAACGGGTGAAAAAAAGCACGTAAGTTATTCCTTTTTATTGCTGAAAATGTGAAGTTATGGAGCAGCATAGTGTTTTGGTTTAGCTTGAATTCCTATTTTTGGCCGACGAACTCTAATCGGAATTCGGGTCAGCAGCGTTTGTCTTGTGCTTGTGAGCCGCTGCTGTGTGCCTGAACAGGGTGACCAGTTTTGGCGGTATTCTGTAGACGCACAAGCTGACATTCGAGAGGTGGTGTTTGTTGCTGTCTCGCTACATTCACGCATCCTTGCTCGAAAAAATCGCGAGTGTTCAAGCAACGACCAAACATGGGATAAACAATTTAAATTTAATTTAGATTTAATCTCAGTAGCTTGCCATATTTTATTGACAGTTTTCTCTCTGACCGTTTTGTGCAGCAAAAGGCTTTCTCTGACGAAGAAGTCCAGCTCCGGAGTAGTGACCAAAGTAGCCAAAATGAAACGCGAGGCGGCTACCGGTGAGAGCATTGACATTGAAGAGATGCTCGAATCTAGCGTTATTTTCACTAACGACGGAAGCATCCGAACGCGAAATGGACTCAAGAACGGGGAGCAGATCCAGAGAACGCCTAAACGAAGCCGTACTAAAGCCAGTAATGTGCCAGGTTTGTTGTTTCATCAGCATGAAGTAGCTTCCGTACGTTAAACATATTATTATTTGCAGCATCCGAATCGACTAGTGGAAAGGTCACTGGTGAAAGACCTATCTTGACTCGTTTGTTGCGAGTTAGGAGTAGGGATAGTCCAAAGAAGCCAATTGAAGCCAGCTGCTCCGTAGCCGTAGCGAATAACGCTAAGCTACAAATGATGATTGTTTTGAATAAAATTGAGGATCCTGTGCAGGAAATTGCCGTACGTAACGAAATTCCGCTTGAAAGTGAACTGAACTGCGATCTCAAGCCTGCAGATGTAATTCCTGTATCGAAACCGGAGAACAGTAGCGAGGTGGGACAGTTTCAACCGCTGCTTTCTTCCACTGCTGTCGAAGAGCGCTTGAAATCGCCACAGCGAGCGAGATATCTGCTAAAGCAACTAGAGAGCTCTCTTAGTCCTAAGTATATGGAGTTGACTAAAACTACCGTTGGACATGCGATGAGCCGGTACGGTAGGGTACAGAAGCAGAAGGAAAATAGCGATTATATTCCGCTGGATCTGGCTAGATTCATTACCAAATCTCCTGCCAAAGCTAGAACGATCAAGAAAGATTCGGAAACCGTGCCTCCAATCGAGCCTATTGTACCTTCCCCGATAGGTGAATCGGATCAAGCATCTTTTGAAACTTCTCAACTTGATGTGATTAATAGTAGTAGTTTAACAGAAACACCTATTGTATCCCCGGCACAATTGAGTACCATTGAAATCCCATCCCAGCTACAGAAAGATTCCGAACCAGAATGCTGTAATAGTGACAAATCCGATATAATTCCAATCATTAATCCAAATGCATCTCTCCTGGGGATTGATGAAATCCAGATTGTCGATTTGGATGCCAGCTTCGGTGAAAATGCAGTCGTAGAAGCCCCGAATGAAATCAAAATCAAAGAGGAACTCGCAAAATCCCCTGAAAAATCATCCGAAGTGGATAGTGCCGAAGGATCATCTCTTGGCTCCACTTTGTCTACCGAGTACCGAACGGGACAACTACTCTGGGGTGCATTCAATAACAAGTCAGTGCATTGGCCGTGCATCGTTATTCCCGATCCGGAGGACGGCCTCATGAAAAAACTGGCCAACGCCAAGAAATGGTACCTGGTACACGTGAATTTCTTTGCCGATAATGGTCGTCGAGCTTGGATCCCCGAGTCCTTGACACTTCCTTTCAGTACGCTTGAAGAATACAAAGCCCTCGTGGACAGCCAATTCAAAATACTACGCTTAAAAGTAAATCAGTATCAACGTCAACGCCCAATGTGGATCGAAGCAATTCGGCAAGCAGAGGAAACGCAGAAGCAACCAATTGATGCCAGAAAAAAACGTTTTCAGGAATTGCTGGAGGTAGATGGTGCAAAATCGAAGCAACTACTTCGAAAACGAGCCAAGAGCCTTTCGACTGGATATCACAGCAACAGCTTTGACGCGTCTTCCGAATTTGGACGAAAGCGACGCCGATCTCCAACACCGGAAAGTCCAGCCTACGAAGCACTGCCGACCACATCGAGAAGTTCCGAAATCCTTTCCAAACGTATAAAGCTCGAGTCGGACGATCGTGATCTTTTCCGCAGCACCATTTCTCGCTACTTCCAGTCGATGACCGAGGGAAGTGATTTTCTTGAGACAGCCAGTGGGACCAGCAGCGAGAGTGACGATATTTCCGAAATGGTGGAATTCGATAAGGAGATTTACAATAACTTTCTGACCATGAGCCGGCTGTATGTGTTCGAAGGACAAACTGAGACCGAGGTCGACCGCAAGCTTCAAAAGTACGTACAGAAGATATGCGCCTTACGCATGCATTCCATAGCAAATGGGGCGAGAATTTCGAACCGCTTGCGCTCGCAGGCGCTACGGAAACTAGGCCGGGAACTCGGGATTGACAAAGCGAAGAAAGAGCCTAACTCACAGGCACCGGTCGAAGCGGCGGCGTCGTCGATGGCGGCGGTTAAGCCAAAGAAAAGAGTGCAAAAATCCTTGGATGACCTGTTCATGTTCGATCTGGAGAAGAACTATCTGATGAAGGGCGTTGCAAGGGGATCCGTGTGTACGGTTTGCTCCAAACCGAACGATCTGGTTAAGTGCTCCAAGTGCTGCAATCACTACCATGCAGGTGAGTTTCGGGTGTTGTCTTTCTCTGCCTCAGACCATATCAATTTAACCGCAAAACTAACGCTCACTTTCCTCATTTTCCACAGGTTGCTCGACCGATCCATCGGCGGAAGCCTCCTCCACCGAAAGCAAGGCTTTCATTTGCTTGGATTGCACTCAGCAGAAAGCTCCCGTATGCTTCGTCTGTCACGACCAGGAAGATTCGGTCAAGGAAGACCAAAAATATCGCTGCACCGTGGGTGGTTGTGGCAAGCACTACCACGTCCCCTGCCTAAGGTTGTTTCCGCAGCACAAGTTCACCGGAACGTCGCAGTCCAGTACCCTGTTCTGCCCGTACCACACCTGTCATACGTGCGTATCGGACGATCCGCGAACGAATGCCACATCCACCAAGGGGCAGCTGGTCCGTTGTATCAAATGTCCTTCTTCGTATCATACGGAGGCTAAATGCATACCAGCTGGTTCGCAAATCCTCTCCTGGGCAGCCATGATCTGCCCAAAACACAACCTGGAACAAAGCTCGCTGAACGTGAACTGGTGTTTCTTGTGCTGCAAGGGAGGCAGTTTGATATGCTGTGAAACGTGTCCCACTGCTTTCCACTTGGATTGCCTCAAATTCACTCCCCCGGAAGGAAAGTACATTTGTGAAGAATGTGAATCCGGCAGGATGCCTTTGTACAACGAAATAGTGTGGGCCAAGTACAGCCACTTTCGATTCTGGCCCGCCATGACGGTTCCCCCGCCTATGGTTCCAGAGAATCTAAAGCAATTGCCACATGAAAAATGGGATATTTGTGTTCGATTCTTCGGCACGCACGATCACGTTTGGATCAACAGGCGAAGAATCTACCTGTATCAGGAAGGTGATTCTGACATCTCAGAAAAGAAACGAGGGAACATGGCCAAGCGGTACAACTCAGCACTGCAAGATGCAAAGTTGGTACACGAAATGCTGCAGGCAAGGAAAGCAGCGGAACAGCTAACGGAAGTAGGTGAAGGATCATTTAAGCCACCTATGTACGTAAAAATCAAAAGCAATCGATACGTTGCACCGCTGAAGGCGCCTTCACAAGGAAAGGAAGAAGTGGTAACCGTTATCCCGATTCTAATCTTTTCTGTCGAAATTTACACAGCATTCATCTTTTCAGGAGGACAACGCATGCGAGTGCAAACCGACGGACGATGACCCTTGTGGGCCTGATTCGAACTGCATCAATCGTGCCCTGCTGGTGGAATGCAATCCGAAGGTTTGCCCGGCGAAGGACCGCTGCCAGAATCAGTGTTTCGAGAAGAAACAGTATCCGGCCTTAGTAGCCAAACGGATATCCCAGAAAGGTTGGGGCCTGGTGACCATGGAGGACATCCGGCAGGGTCAGTTTGTGATTGAATACGTCGGTGAGGTGATCAACAATGAAGAACTAGCGCGGAGGTTGCAACACAAAGTGGAGCAGAAGGATGAAAACTATTACTTTTTGACGGTGGACTCTGAGCTGACCATCGATGCCGGACCTAAGGGAAACCTGGCCAGATTTATCAATCACTCGTGCGAGCCCAATTGTGAAACAATGCTCTGGAAGGTGGGAGGTGCACAGGCGGTGGGGCTATTCGCCATCAAGGACCTCAAAGCGGTAAGTGACCAATGGGTGCTTCATTTACGGGTGAAATTATAAAAATTATGAGTTTTCAACAGAAAATGCACTAAAAGGGGATTTTACAATCATAAATTTAATTGCATTAGAAACAAAGATTGCTAAACCTTCAATTAAAAATTAGATAAATACGTGCAAACTTGCTCGGGTTTTCTCCATTTGTTTACATTTTGCTATTTTCGCCCTAATCTTAAGTTGCTCCGAAGATACGTCAATTTGAAAAAAAACATCCAAAATGGCCGATTGTTTGTAAAAATGTGAACGATTGCCGCCCATTGCATACAAATCAAGCTGAACATTGCATTAGGTCCTAAGTAACATTGAAAGATTCTCTAGGGTTCTGCATTTTCGAAACAAAGGTTATTTGTTAGATGATTATTTCTGGAACAAGGATAACGTGTAGATGCCGAATATCGATATCAGATACCACTTTGGAATCCAATATGGCGGCCATCAGGGTTCAGAGAGTGTCAAATTATAATATGGGTATTTTCGGAATGGGGACAACGTGTGAAAGCCGAAAATCGATATCAGATGCCATTTTGGAATCCGATATGGCGGCCATCGGTTTTCACAAAAAGTGTCAAATACCCTAAGATCTGAGTATTTTCGGAACGAGAACGACGCGTAGATGCTGAAAATCGATATTCGATGCTATTTGTAGGCTATTTGGCACTTCTTATGAAATCGGAAGCCACCACTTTGAATTTCAAGATGGCGTCGGACATCTATTTCTGGCTTCTAGATGTCACCCTGATGCTAAACAAACGGTTTGTATGGGTATTTGATAGAATTTAAAACTTTTTCTCTAACCGAAAGCCGCCATCATGGATTTCAAAATGGCGCCGGATATTGATTTCCAATCTCCAGACCTCATCCCGATTCCAAAAATACCCATATTGATGGGACGGCATCAACATTACGATTTTCGCTTTTGACGATTGTCGCTTGACGATTTTCGATTGAAAGTGGCTTTGTGGGGCCCTGTTCTCTTTGTCGATTTTCTCTTTGTATCCCAATGGCCATGTTAAGACATTCCCAGGTGTTTTCAGCACACAGATCGATAAAAGAAGCTTTTATCTAGCTTCTAATACGAAAAACAACAAGAAACGGTTAGGTGCTCAAGTTATTAACGAAAGAGAAAGTCGACGAAGACAATCGATCAGTGTTATTTAGGACCTAATGCAATGTCGAGCTTGAATTATGCAAATCGGAGAAGGTCAAGTTTTTCCGATTTGTCATTTAAATAGTGTGGTACTGCTCAACATCAACAGACTCAATGTAGCCCCAATGATGGATAACTTAAAATTGAAAGTGAAGGTCACAAATTAAAAAAAAAAAAAACAATTAAATACTGATACCCTCAATCAATGCTTTCTGGAGGCGAACCAGCCTCAGGTTGAAAGCCTCCCAAATAAAGATAAATCAATCAATCAATCAATCAGTGCTGCAAAATATCAATACCTGCAAAATGCTGAATTTTACTAGTCACCTGATTTAGTATCAGTTCACACAGTTAGAATATCAATATCATTCGTTCAATGTCAGTGGGCAAATGACAATGACATCGTAAAGGGTCCACTGATATTCCAAGTTCTTCTGCAATTTTTGTCTTATGTTTGCTAACTTATCAAGTACCGATGTTTAGAAAATATCAATAATATTAAAACAATGCAGCGATTATACAAAACAGTTGATTTATTGAGATAAAAGTAAGATTTACAACTTTTCCCTACTTATATTTATATGGATAGTAATGTCAAAGCCGTACCGCCTGAAAATATGCTAACTACGATTATAAGTGTCGGAAGTGAAATTCAATGCTAGATCATTATCTTAAATTGAGGGGGTTAGAAGGAAAGGGTTTTTTTTTTCCTTGATTTGTTTTACGTCGATCTTGTTTTCCGTGCTGAGCACCAATGCTACCGACGCCAGGGAGGCAGCTCCCACACCTGGACCCTACCTATCGACCCATCAACACATGAACCGGGGACCAACGGCTTTACTTCCCGAAGGAAGGCGTGATCAGAGATGTTATGCCTCAGAACATCCCGACGGCGCCGACTGGGATTGAACCCAGGCCTGCTGGTGTAGCATTGATGCTCAACACGTAAAACAAGAAAACAAATCAAGAAAAAAAAGTGACTTTGATCGATTCTCTTCATCGACTTTCTCTTTTGATAGCCACAGCTTTATAAACAGATTTTGCGCTATTTCTGTCGCATAGTTTGATAAAGAAGGTTCTCATCTAGCATGCAGAATGGCACACGAATCAAGGTATGTGTTTGCAGCTGAATTATGAACGAAAGGAGAAAGTCGATGAAGAGAATCGATCAAAGTCACTTACACACCTTTCCTTCTAACCCCCTCAATTGACATTGTAGACAGCACACAGCACTGCACTCCATCATTCACGGTTCACATAGCCATGGTGCTGATATAGACTCATATTTTGGGGTATTGAATCGGACTAGAGGGTGGCCTATAATAAATGTATCACTTTTGTTTAAAAAAAAAATGAAACACCCTAATGACCAATCGGACCAGTCGGATATGGAATAATTTCAAAACTCTCTATTCACATTTTGCAGGGCGACGAATTAACCTTCAACTACAACTTTGAAAGCAAGGGGGATAAGAAGAAAATTTGCCTCTGTAACGCTACCAAATGTTCCGGATACATTGGGCAAAAGTATCGACCACCGGTCGAGCAAGCTATCGCTGCGATCGGCGTATCCAAAGGACGCAAGGCTGGTAAGAACAGGAAGTCTGCCAAACGGCGACGGCAGAGCAGCTACCCAGCGACGTTGTTCGGAGATAGCAAAAGGCGGAAAAGCACTGTCGATAAGACGAATAAGGTGGCTGGTAGTATCAAGAGTATTAAGAGTAATTCAGTGCAGCAAGTTGATGCGATTAAGGTGGAACCTTTGGACGATGAACCTGAGAACCGTGCCACCACGATCGCGGACCCAACGAAGGAAAGCAATGATGTAGCAATAAAAGCGAATCAGTAACTTTTCTCCGCCTCTGACGAACCGTCTCAGGACTATCCTTTCATCGCTGGCGGTGCCAACCACCGTTTCTTTACGTACGTACGAGTATTAGTACTAGAACAAGGATATATGATGCCTTTATTTTATAAACGATATATTTATTTCCCATATAGAGAAAACATCACACCGGATCGGATGATTAGATATTGGAAATTGAAATTTTTGTGGAAAACATTTGTTTTATTATGTGTACCTAGCTGTTGAATTTGTGAAGGAAACTGTTTGTTTTTTTAAGAAGTGTGGGCAAATGTTCTCGTTATGGTGTGACACAACAATATCACCGCATAGCCACAACTGGGACACTAGTTTTGCCAGTCGAGTCTAATAGATTTCTAATGCGAATCGTTAAATTCAAGTTTAATATTTTTAAAGGAAAAATCCTGTACTGCAATTCGGAACGCACTAAATAGTTAGGTACGAGAATACAATTGTTGATGGGAGAAAACATTTTTCTGGAAGGTGCTGTTATTATTCGATTAAAGCTACGGAGCGTTACCAGAAATTTGTACTGTTTTATTGAATAATAAAAATCTATTATTTCTATTTTGAAACGTAAACAAATTTTAATGATAAAACTGCAGATTCTAACCACCTCTGTGTGCACTCAGGAAACATTTACAGCACATATACAGTAGTAACTCGTTTAAATCCAGTGAAAGCAAATTAGTGGCTTAATTCTTTGTTAGGCATTTCTTTAATTGTAAGTGCCACGTGGCTGTATCAAACATGTCCGGCAGATGTGTTAAGTGTTGGTTGAGAATAAAATAATGTTTCAAACTATTGTTCCATTAATTTGCCTAATATCCGAAAAATTAAAACTGATCGAGTGGTGAGCTCTGTATTTGTCAGGATTAAGAAGTTTTTCTTCCCGTTCATACCTTCTTCTCCGACAGTGCGAACATAGATTCGGACCACTACCTAGTTGCAGTATGCATGCGCTCAAAACTCTCGACGGTGCATAACACGGGACGATAATTACGGGACGCCGGATTTGCCCAGGACTACGCGCAGCAGCTGGAAGTTGCACTACCCACGGAAGAGCAGCTTGGCGCAGCTTCTCTTGATGATGGCTGGAGGGACATCCGTTCCGCCATAGGTAGTAGTGCTGCAGCGACACTAGGTTCGCAATCCCGGACCGAAGAAATGACTGGTTTGACGGCGAATGCAAACTGTTAGTACAGGAGAAGAATGCAGCACGGGCGAGAATGTTGCAACACCGCAAGAGATTGAATGTGGAGCGATACAGACAAGCGCAGAACAGACAAAGCTCGGTTTTCCGAAGAAAGAACCGTCAGCAGGAAGACCGAGATCGCGAGGCGATGGAAAGTCTGTACCGCGGAAACGACACACGAAAATTCTACGGAGAAGCTAAATAGTTCGCGCAGAGGCTACGTGCCGCAAGCCGATATGTGCAAGGACTTCAAGGTAACCTTCTCACGAACGAGTGTGAGGTGATTGTGAGGTGGAAGCAGTACTGTCAACAATCAATACGAAACTAACGATTTTGAATTGGCTCACCACTTTAGTAGCCTATTGGTCCCAAGCAAACGATTAACGTACCCTATTCTAGTTGAAATTCTATTACTACACTATGTTTGTTTTGATTCGCTATGAAAGTTTGACAGATAACATCAGGGGTGTGTGGATTCATGCAGAACATGCAGGGGTGAGTGAAATAGCTTGGGACTGCTTGGGACCGTTGTTCTGGTACTGAGTGAGCCAAAAATAATAATGATTTTCTTCGGGACCCAGTGGTCTTAGAGTTACCTCTATGGTACTATGACGAGCACCTCAACGGTGAAGCAGCAGAAAACGAAGGTGGCACGGCAACATAACTTGGATCACGCGCAGAAGACGACAGGCTATCGGCCCCTGATCTTCAAGAAGTTGAGGAGGAGATCGGTCGGCTGAAGAACAAAAAAGCAACTGGTCTAGATCAACTACCAAGTGAGCTATTAAAATACGATGGTGAAGCACTGGCTAGAGCGCTTCACTGGGTTATTGCCAAGATTTGGGAGGAGGAGTGGATGGAAGGTGTCGTATGCCCAATCAATCTACAAAAAGGGCGACAAGTTGGATTGCTGCAACTACCGCTGAGCACCGCCTACAAATTCTATGCCGCCACCTGTCACAATTTGCAAGAGAGTTCGTGGGGCAATACCAGGCGGGATTCTTGCAGGGTGTCGACTACCTGGAAAGTCAGGGAATGTCAGGGAATTGTATTTATGATCTGGAAAGTCAGGGAATGCCAGGGAATTTTAGTTTAGGTCAGGAAAAAAACTCATAACTCATAAAAACAATCTTTGCAATTTTACTAGGGGCATCCCACTCTAAACTTTATATTTCTCGCGGTGTACTTATAAATATCTGACTGATATCTTACACTAAGGCAAAAGAATGTAAGAATTCCATAAGAACCACTTATGAATTTTAGCCACAAGAAATCGGTATGAATTTCATTGATTTGTCTTATGAAAAATAATGTCGGCAAAAAAATAATAAAATGGAGCAGACTGGAACCGAGCCATGGACGTTTAGATTACGAATCCTGTGTCTGAACCACTCATCTATCAACGCTTGAGAAAATAAAATTGCTAAAGGCATATAAGAGCTACCTCATGTTAGACGAAAATCTTTCACAATTCACGCTTATGAAATTCATATGTTTTTTTCATAAGTCGCGCCTTATGAAATTCTTAAGTCTATTTGCCTCAGTGTAGATACCTATAAATACTTAAAAATACTTAAGAAATACCTAGTACGAGTATGCTTACCTGGTTGCTAGGTGAATTTCTGCAGTTTGTTTATTCAATGTTGTCAGGAATTTTATGTGTTAGGCTGGTTTGTGTGCATTGCGAGCGTTAACGTATCAATGAATAAATCATTTAAAAGAAAAGATTTCCAATTTCAGCGAAAAAGACGATTAGTATGTAAAAGTAAGCCTTTCGCTTATGAGAATGTGTCTTTTCCTCTGAAATACGAGAAAAAAATTATTTTATCCTGAAAGTGGTGACCTATATCCCACCTCCCGTTTTCTGGAGAAAATAAAGCGTATTTTAAAATTTAATATTATGTGCTCCTTATTAAAAATCACATAATGCTATTATAATAAAAATGAACATAGAGCCCCGCATACACGATATATACGCAGATAAATGTGGATTTCTCATAAGCGTCACCATATAAAATGCTCTGCGTGCTTATATGTTATCCTCATCGTGCTTCGATGGTTATGCGAAATTATCATGCAAGGTACAATATTTGTGCATTCCCCGCATAAACGCGAACCATAAATTGACCTTACCTAAAATGGTTAAAAATTGTTTATAATCCCTGCTAAACTTTAACTGAAATGGTTATGGAACTTTACATGAACGTTTAATGATAAAGTTTTAACCTTATGTATTATGGTTTTTTGGAACTGGACCTTACAAATAATGGGTTGTTAAGAACCATTACCATTCCAAATTCTTGTTTTCTCCATACATTTTCAGAAAGAGAACTACATAAGTACGTTTTTACTTATGATTTGAGAACATTAATGGTAATGGTTATGGTAGTCAGTAAGGTCCATTAATGGTTTTGTATTATCGCTCAACTTTACGTGGAATATATCGTGAATTGGTAATCAGTAAATTACAGGCAACCAATTCGCGATATATTCCACATAAAGTTAATCGATGTTACAAAACCATTCGTGGACCTTACTGACTACCATAACCATTACCATTAAAGTTCTCAAACCATAAGTTAAAAGGTTCTAATATAGTTCTCTTTCCGAAAATGTATGGAGAAAACAAGAATTTGGAACGGTAATGGTTCTTAACAACCCATTATTTGTAAGGTCCAGTTCCAAAAAACCATAATACATAAGGTTGAAACTTTATCATTAAACGTTCATGTAAAGTTCCATAACCATTTCAGTTAAAGTTTAGCAGGGATTATAAACAATTTTTAACCATTTTAGGTAAGGTCAATTTATGGTTCGCGTTTATGCGGGTCCCTCATTAAAATTATATGATTATATTTCATAACGACGTTTTTGGGGTATCATCAACTATTCGTCGAATAGTTGTATGATTTGAGTTATCGTTCAGGTGTTTTTTTATTATGGATATGAACTAATTGTTTATTTCTTATTAGTGACACATTGATTTATAAATATTAACTGTAATAATAGGTTTATGTGCATTTAATAAAAACACAAAAATATTCAAAAATTCGTTTAAATATTTTATAGTTTCAGCACTTAAAGATCCTGTAGCATCCGGTGGTTGGATATGCGATGTGTATTTCTCAACATCGATTCCAATAATGCTCTCGTGGGCGTTCAACAGTCCTCCACCGTCCATAATTTTAAAGATGCTTCCTTTGACTAACACTCCTCGTTTTTTTATAGTTTTTTGGCACTTTACTGGAATCCGTTGAATCGAACACATCTTTGTTCTACCTGAAAATATAGTTTTAATTTTAGTTTGAACTCCTACTACGTTCAGACTATAGCTGATATCATAACAAGACGTGAAATTTTTACTGGAAATCATATGTATGACTTTTGATATCAAGCTAGCCTATATTACGTTATAGCAGCTAATGTCCGAACGTAGTATTATTATATTTTATATTATTTGCAGTACATGCTATAACAAATCTTCCTTTTACCTGTCTTAAACGAGAATCCATTTACGTGACAAATAATTGACCCTTCAAAGAAAATCCAATCTCCCATACTTATAAAGGGTGATACGGTCAAAATTTGGTCAAGGGAAAACGCGTGTAAATCGGTGAAATCGTTTATTTAAAAAATCAAATTAAATTTCTTTTTCAAGTTCAATTAGTATAAAATTCAGGAAAAATATTCAGTTAGGCTTCCGCTTTTCCAAATCCGAATTGCCGGGCCTTACGCTTGACCCCTGCCATCAGATTTTGTACAGCCACCTTGTCCACCTTCTTCGCCGCAGAAAGCCAGTTAGTCTTGAACTGCTGCTCGCCCTTAGCAGTTTTTTTGGTCTTCTTTAGGTTCCGCTTGACAATAGCCCAGTATTTCTCAATTGGGCGGAGCTCTGGCGTGTTGGGAGGGTTCTTGTCCTTGGGAACCACCTGCACGTTGTTGGCGGCGTACCACTCCATGGCCTTTTTACCGTAATGGCAAGATGCCAAATCCGGCCAAAACAGTACGGAACAACCGTGTTTCTTCAGGAAAGGCAGCAGACGTTTATTTAAATTTCTTGGTTGACAGTCCCGTAAGCTATGAAAATGCTGCTTTTCAAGCCACAGGTACAGATGGCTTGCCAAACCCAGTGTTGGAAAAATCATTTTCAAAAAAAGTTCTATCACAGCTCATTGCAGAGATAAATCCCAAAGGAACTTCTCACAAAAAGTTCGCGAACGAGAGATGATAAAAAGTTCATGAAAGCGTAGAGCGAGAGAAATTTTCATTTCGTATCGCGAAAGATCTTTCGTCTCTCCATCTCACATCATTTCACACGTACTCGTGATTCGAACCAACCAAATATCCCCTCAGCTTTGTTCTTTTTTTTCCAGCGAGTAAAGGTAGGCGATGATCACGCGAGAGTGTCTGTTTGTTTTCTTCTCGTTCTCCGATATTTTTCGCATCCTTCACATTAAATACCATTTCCAGAGAACTTTGAGATTTGGGCGTAATTGCTTTTGTAAACAAACACGTCATTCAGCGATTTCTCACGAATCAAAGCACAATCTAGCGAACTATACTATACCAA